AAATTGCATCAAATTTACTATGGATGTGTTGCTATCGCAAATAGGAAGAGATAATAAGCTTTATTCAATGGCTTTCCATTCCAAAAATATTTCAACAATCAAGATTAATAACAAGATCCACAATAAAGAGTTTCTTACAATTGTAGATTCTTTCAAGATTAACATTATTATTTAGAAGGCACTTCTAATCTAATCACCATATATATAAATTATAAAAATCTCAAGTATTTTATATTGATATATATTTAGAATCATCGCCAAGCTTGTTAAAACATGTCTTTATTAAAATTTGATTTTAAGATCACTTATTGATCCAAAAAACAATAAGATTTGTCACATCCCCTTTTTAGACGTTTTTATCTTATAGAAAAAGAAAGACATGCAACTTTTGACCAATAAAGAATGATTCTCTTAAAGTCAAAGTATTTTCACATTTACCTTAAGTAATGAAATCAACATTGATTGTTGACTCAACTTTTCTCAAGCAAGTTCAATCAAGTGTGTTCTTTCATCCTCTTGTTCATAATATTAAAAATAATTCTTTTAATTCTCATAATATTTTTAAATTTGAATTTTAAAATAATATTTTTTATTTTTTAAAATAATTATATATTTCAAAAGACAAAATACAATTAGATGTTTTTCAAGGTCATCACAACTTTCCTATAGTCGGACATTTTAGATAGAATAAGACTTTATAGTTAATATTGAAAGATTTTTAGTGGCTTCAAATATAAAAGGCAAACAAAGACTTTGTACAATCATTTGATATCTACTCAAGATCAAAAATTCCTTATTATCAACTTTATAGACTTTTTTTAGCTATTATCTATTTTAGAACAACTATAGTCTTTTATTTCTATAGATTTTATCATGGATCTTTTAGTCTTAGATTTATATGATTCTATATTAGTGATAGTAGATCATTTTACTAAGATGACACATTTTATATCATGTATGAAATCTATCACTAGTGAAAAAATAGCTAAGTTTTTTCTTGATAATATCTATTATTATTATAGATTATTTAAAGATATGATATTAGATAGTACAACTCAATTTATATCAAGATTTTAAAATATCTTTTTTAAGATTTTAAAAATAGATATAATTCTATCTTTGGCTTTATTATTCTAAAATTGATCGACAAACAAAGTACATAAATTAAGTTTTAGAGTAGTATTTAAGGTATACTATCAATTACCAATAAGATAATTGAATAACTCTTATATCATTGGTAAAGTTTGCTTATGATAATATGATATTTTTTTTTATATAATAAATACTTTCTTTTACTAACTATGATTATCATCCATGACTTGATGTTTTTGACTTTTTAAAAGTTCATAATCTTGTGGCACAGGATTTGGCAAATCATTTAACTGAGCTATATACAACAATAAAGATATAATTAAAAGAATATGATATTAATGAATATATATATATATATATGAGTGAGCTAAGAATCTTACAAATGCAAAAAAAAAGATTGATGCTTTTTATTGATGTCATCCATTAAAACCAAGATAAAGAATAATAAATCTTTGATATAAATGAAATATAGTTCAAAAAATATTTCATTTTATTTTCTTTCTTTTTTTGTAATTTATATGTATTTATAGTACTAAAAAGATGGAAAAGCAATAACTAGCATATTCAACCCAAGAAATATCATTTTTTGACTTATTAAATGAGACATTGCAATTTTTACAACCTTCAAGACGACATAATTAAAATGAAGACGCTCAAAAAACAACAAGTTCTTCTTTGAATAGATAGCAAGATATAATACATTTGATATCATGATTTTAGAAGAGATTCTTAATATTTGGTGATTTTATTAGAAGTTGATACAACTTCTAATGGTCTTACAAATATTTTATTTGAAAGAAGTTATAAAGGCCTCAATAATAAATAAATAAATAAAAATAAAAATGTGGTCTTTCTACCTTAGAATGAAACATTATTAATAATGTTTCATTCTAAGGTAGAAAGACCTATCAACCATCTATAAAGGAAATAAAGATTAGAATATGTAGCAAATAAAATTCATTGTATCTTGGGCTTTTTTAATAATGAATCTCCATTCCTTGTAGAATTCATTTCTAGAAGGAAGAATAATATCATGGACATATATATTTACCTAGATAAGAAGTATTAGATAGAATATAAATATACATAGATTTAATATTATTTTGTGGTGACACTTCTTAAAAGCTTCATAGATGCATATTTTCTTTTATATATGTTTGTTGTTAATTAATAAATTAAAAACTTAGCCAATAAATTAGCCATGTGGCATACATATCGATAGCTTGTGGCACAAGCTTCCAATGTAGTATTGTCATGTTGTGGTTCGGCTACTATATGAAAATAATGTAATTATGTATTTAATATATAATTTATTTAAGTAATATGGTAAGAGCCATGTTAGTAGATTTAGTTGGTTTTAGAATATAATTTGATTATTACTTTGAAAAGAGGTTGTTTAAAAAGATTACTATAAAATTTGTATAACTTTATTTTCTTTTGATAGTGGCTTTTAAGATTGGTTTTGATTGATAGTAACTTCTAAATATTTAGAGTCACCTTTTTTAGACATTGGTGACCTTTAAAAACTTATTTTGGTTCTTTTATTTGATGTTTAGAACATAAATTATGTAAATCTTATTAAAAAAAAAAAAAAAAAAAAAAAAAAAAAAAATTAAGAAGGGTTTTGGTAGCAAAGAGAGTAATTAGGGCACCAATATAGATGAATAGAGATGAATGATGAAAATCTCCATTCCTATTGGTCAAAAATCATAACCAATAGGCTTTGAGGAGGCTACCCGAGGCCATATAGGGATTAGGATTAGTTTTTCGAGGAAATTTGAGCTTTGAAGGCTAGTATCAACAAGTTTAAGTTTTTGGCTATGGTTTTGGTGCAAGTTTTGTATGGTTTGGAGTTTATATAAAGGAGATATAGGTGCTCAAAGTTAAGGTTTTGATTTGGGAGCTACTGTCACTCTTTTTGGCATAACACACATGTACGGATAGCAATTGAGGATCGGCAACTGCGATTGGAGAGAGCACCTTTGCGGCTATACATTTTGCATATTACTTATTGGATTCTAAGTTAAAATAAAGGAGTTATTGGATTTTGAAGTCAGCACATGCAATCTAAGGGTAGTAAGTGATCCAATTTACCAGTGGTTGTGTCTTGAGCTATATCTTGAGCAATTTAACAAGGTTTCAGCTAAAAATTTTAAGGAATGTGTAAATTCATGTTAATAAACTTTTTACATAAGTTTAATGACATTTTATTATTGGATTCTTGAGATATTAAGAAAATAGTGCTCAGAAGCTTGTAAATTAGGGTTTAGAGCGTCTACTAGGATTTCTTAGATTCCAAAAGATCGGAAGTGAATTTGTGGTTGGTTTTTTTTGTGGTAAAATTTAAAGGTGAATTCTACCTACTTTATAAATTTCAGCTGAACTAAACGGTTAGATCAAGAGTTATGAATTTCTAAAGTTTAGAAAAAGAAAACTTTTTGCGGGAAAAATATGTTTTGAAGGGATTTTGTTATATTTTGAGTTTTATGCAAAATAAAGGAGTTTTGGAAGCTAAGACAAGATTTATATAAAGGTTTAAGCTACACTCTCTACATCTAGATATCTAGTGTATTCCTAGATAGCAAATCACGCCATACAACAACATGCATATAGAAAACTTGTCTTGTAAGTTAAGGCATATATCTTACAAATTAGACATGTATTGAAAGTCCTATAGGATGTCGCCACATAGCTCTTATTTGGATAGTAGTATATGGAGGCTAATGTGAAGCCTTATTTATTCTTGTCAATACCTTTCTAGTCCTTAGTCTTATTTTAAGCCTTGTTAATCTTCTTGTCTTTGGCAATAGCTATTTTAGTTCAATATATTACCTACTTTGAATGATTTTTTAATATTTTTTAGTGACATAAGAATGAATTGAGATTTTTTTTTTGAGATTTATGTCCTTAACAATATGTTTGTGAAGGTTCAAAATTCTAGAAGGATAAACAAACCCTAGTAAGCCAACACTCCATTTTCAAAATAAGAATATAAGTAAAAGATCGAGGGGCGGAGGTGCGAACGATGCTACTACTACTACCTTTATCCAAAGTGTTGTGAAAAGCTACAATGGCCACATGATAGGCAACATCATCCATCTTCAATCTTATAGGAGTAGTAGGAACATAGTCTCACAAGTTCTTTTCTTCATACAAAAACAAGGAATCTTTGTACTTAGGATTCCATGATAATACATGAAGGTGAGCAAGTTGTAGCTATTATTAAAGAAGATAATCATGTGGCAATTATGAATTGAACATAATGATACAACGTTTAATGGCAGATATTAGCAAAAAGAAGGTACTTAGCTTGATGTGGATGTGCTTCATTGATAATGAAAGACTTGCTTAAATGGCAATCTAGACAAAGATTGAGAAGTCAACAAATCAAAAGATTGTGTTATTGAAAGTGTTCCAACAACATTGGTGACTTAACAAGATGTTGGCTACTTCGGTCAAAGATGGCCTTCAACGAAGATTAGTGTGTCTTAGGATAAGTCCTTAATTTAATTTAGGGTGTCTATGTTCTGAGTGCTGGCCGGACCTGGCTGGGACGTTTGTATTTTTACTGTTCGCTTTGCAGTGAAGTATACCTTTATTTGTGTAAAAAAAAAACAACAACAACAACAACAACAAGCTTGTGTGGTCAATGGCATGTAATCAACATTATTGTGTAGTGAAATGATAAATTAAACTGCTTGACTTGTCTAGCTTGATAATCTCTCTGGCATAATATATAACTCTTTGCTGTCTAGTCTAGGTTTTTAGTTCACCTAATTAGAAGTGCAGATAAGAAGCATGGCCACTAAGTCGGCTAACAGTGCCACAGGATTCCAAGTTGATAACCTTACCTAGAATGCCATGGATATCTAGAGGGGAGGGTTGAAAAGCTCACATTTTTTATATTATCACAGAGTTTCGCAGGCCTGATTTAGAATTGACAATTGTTCTCGTACAGAGCCAGAAACCTGGATGAGCTCCATTTTGAGGGAGGAACCATGTGTGTAGAGAGACCTTGTCAATTCTCTGTGGGCATGAGGCCTTGTAGACATGGCTCCATTGTGAGGTAGCAATTATGTTTGTAGACAGACCTTGTCTATCCTCTGTGGGGTTGTGTCCTTGTAGACATGGCAGGCATTTCGAGGGATATCCGCGGAACAGTAGAGAATTTGGTCCGTCTGACCTCCGATAGCAACAGCACCGATCCACTCAAACTCAACGTTCTACAATGTCAGTTGGTTGCTAAGAAAGCGGCCGACAGTTCGTACACCTTGAACGACCTTGAGGCTTATCAGCGCAGGCATGAGAAAAGCTCCGATGGACGCATCGCTGGTACCGGATTTCGAGCCGCTAAGGAACTTCTCCGAGTGCTGAAGGACGCCGAGATTCTTATCAGAGAGTGCTGCTCTGAAAAGTGGAAGAAAGTGGTGTTCAAACGCGGAAAATTGCAAGAGACTTTTGCGAAGATAGCGTATGAGATTGAGTGGCACTCGTTGGTGTTGTACAGCGTCTTGGTGGCACAGAGCGACATCTATGACAAGAGGACGTGCGATGGTAAGCTGAGGTCCATCGACCATGCCAGGTTGATACTTGCGGCAAGGCAAGACCTAGATTCTTTGAGGGCCCTTCTCCAAGGCCCACACGTTTGTGATGAAATATGTAAACCAGACTTTTGTTCCGAATGCCTCAAGGATAAAGTACTTCAGCAGTGGGATACAGAAGAAAAAGAATTGGAGGACAGGAGCTCTCTGTCGCAAATTATGTCATCTATCTTCTCATGGGTTCAACCGCAGTTTGATTCTAAAAGACAACAGAATGGAAAAGTAGGCGTTGCTGAAGTGAAAGAGATAAAATGGCTTGGGCAAATGTATGCAATGAAGACTTTCAACAAAGATGCGACTCACGAGGCACACTTCAGGGAGGAGGTTTCTGATATGGCTGCCCTTGACCATCCGAATGTAGTCCGTATCATCTGTTGTTGGGAAGACAAAAACTACGTAAGTATCTTGATGGAACCGCTGCGCAAAAGCTTGCACAATCTGCTACTGAATTACAAAGATGGAACTCATGCTCCGTCTGCACCTACCCCATTTACAATCTTAAATTCAGTCGATATTATGCTGCAAATTGCCGAAGGCGTCAGATATGTCCACAGCAAAAACTTTACTCACCTTGACATCATGTCGCTCAATGTTCTAGTACAATTTGCCGATCCTATCACCTCAACAGATGTGAAGGATTCTGATACAGTGACCATTTCCAGCAGATCTACATCTTTCACGGTCAAACTTGCAGACTTCGGTTTGAAGAGGATAATCAATGAAAAAGGTCGTCGGACATCAAACTCTGTCAAGACAGCATGGACAGCTCCAGAGGCTTACAAGCTCAGAAAAGGCGAAGATTCAGCCTGGTTCCACCCCAGGAAAGCAGACGTTTATAGCTTTGCGATAACGTGCTCCGAGATACTTACAGGAGATCACCCTTTCGCACATTTCAATGCGGACTACAATTTCGATGCTGTAAAGGATGGGGACCGGCCGAGGTTGCCAGGGGAAACTCCCAGGCGATTGGCTGCTTTGATTCATCGATGCTGGCACCGAAACCCTCAACTACGCCCTGATTTTACCGCAATTTGCACGGAGCTTCGATTCATCAAGGGGCTTGCCTTGCGAGGTATTCTGTCAACATAACCTGATAAACCTTAGCAGGTGATGGAAGTCCTCTAAAACACGATACAAATTTAAGTGTTCTTCCTTTTTAACTAGTGTAATACACACAGGTCTCTCTCTAGTTTTGTTTTTATCACAATGGGAAGTGGGTCCATGAAGGTTCACCAGCAGGTTTTAAGGTTAGATCCAGTGAGAGTTATCTTATAGTTCTCAAAATCAAGCTTCAAGATGCATATCAATATTCCATATTGGGTTGTTAATCCTGCACAATATCTTAGGTTTTGTGATATAGTGCCTGTTCTTGAGTCAACTAAACACTCTCAGTTGGAACTTGCTTTTCAAATTCTGATATGGTCAGGTGATATCAAATCACTGCACCAAACAGATGTTGGCAATGAAGCCAATTTTCATATGGAGACAGGAGTTAAGGTGAATTTCTTTTAGCACTATCAGGTGATACTTAACTAGACAATAGATTTGTGATGTGAAGCATATACTGTACATGCTCTACATATTTTTGCTGTTCTATCTGTGTGGACAATGTCCATGTGGATGGGATCACAAGTGGAAACTTCTGACACCAACTCTGTAGGTACAAGGGCCATGGGGAGGCAATGGGGGAGGTCAATTCTTTGATGGAATAGTCACATCCATAAAGCAGATAACCATGAAGTATAGCACAGACCCATCCCCTTGCATATTCTACATGGAGATGGAGTACAACATGAATGGAACATCATTTTTTATTGGTCATGGAGATGCCAATCATGGTTCGAACTCTTCAACTGTAAGGCTATTCCCCAAACTCTGTGTGAGGTCACTCCCAAAGATTTTGTCCTTAATTTGATAACAACAAGTGTGGCCTAAAGAGCAACATATTTGGGTTTGACTTTAAATTGTATTTGGTGTACAGATCAAGATAGACGAGCCTAGTGAATACATCACAAAAGTTGAAGGGTCATATGGCAGCACCCCAATGTGGTGTGGAGGCAAGCAAGTGGAGAGTTTAACATCCTTAACCATACACACCAATGTGAAAGCACATGGACCCTTTGGAGGGAAGTGCACATCCAAGTTCAAAAGTGAATATGGCAGAGTTGTGGGTTTCCATGGAAGAAGTGGTTTGGGGCTTGATTCTATTGGTTGTTTTACAGTACCCATTGAAGTTTGATGTATCCAAAATGAATACCTTGGGAGATGATTGTCATGTGCATCAATCTTTACAGTAACTGTGTAATAATATTGTCATAGGCTTGTAGAAAGTTACTTACCAAAAGTAGGTATACAGTAGAAATGGATGTGATTCTATTGGCTAAGTAGCAATGTAGTAAATTGGTGAGGTGTAGCACTTCAATATTTCATCATGAATACTCGTGGCAGAAGAAAACATTAAAAAAAACTAAAAGCATTATCTTACAGGAATGTTATGAGTGCAAGGCTTTGCAATAATTCTAGGAAAATATAAGACTGTAGTTAGGATTTTACAATAGAACATATTTTTCTATTGAAACCAAAAATTTATGTTTTACTAAAAATACATCAATTTAATCAGTGATATTACTGTTTTCAGCACAATTGTATTTCACTCCTTAGATTAACGTATAACTCATAATATAATGTGAATTTAAGATTGTAATGTTGTGAAAGTTGTTATAAACAAGTGTACAGTATAAGAAGTTTTAATGGAACCTGTCTTATTAGGCCAAATGACAACTTTGGTCATATGGCAAAGCCACATGGTACTTTGTCAGATAAACAGCATGCCCTGCATGAGAATCTGGTGAAAAAGATCTTTCAATTGAATGAATGAAGCCTGTCCAAGTGGAAATCAAGTCCCTAAAGCTCAATCATGTTGGTCAATCATGGCATCTAGACTTTATGAAAACTGGTCCCTTATGATGTGGTTCCAAAGTCTTCCAGCTTTCTTTTTCAGCAGCTTTTCTGTCAACCAATGAATGCTGCAGAGCAAGCCAACCTGGGATCCCAAAGTAAAAATGTGACCAGTCAGGGCTCTATAATAATGGAGGTGGAGCTACTGACAGGGAGCTTTTCAATTGGGAATGCAGTGGTGGAGGTGCTGCGTTTTTTTATGCATGCTGATGATCATATCCTTTTCAGTGGTGGGAAGAAGAGTGATAGGCATGTGTGGATGTTGTGTCTTGTTGTTGTTAGAGATGGAGTTCATGTGGTGTCACTCTCAACATCCTTTACAAAAGAGGTTTGGTAAGTATTTTGGATACTAAGGAAGTGAATTTCTTTGCTGAAAAATTTGATTATTCTTAATATTCTTACAAGGTATTTGGAAATTATTTTTCAAGTCTTGAAGACAAGATATATGATTTTAACCTATGGAGGTAGATTACAATTTTAGCAAATTGTCAATTTTGCATGTAATGTTTTGTCAAGACAAATAATAACTAAATTTATGAAAATTAATTGCAATAATTTTTTTCCTTCTATGGTCGTTTTAGATCATTGCAATTATTTTAAACTAATTAAGCTTTTTGTATTTTGTAAATATATATAATCTATCTTTTTTAATTTAAAATAAATAGAATTCTTTACCAAAGTATTAATTGAGAGGTTAGATATTAAAATATATCTTGTCATTTCTTTGCATTCAAATATTCTAAATGCATGCTCTTATTACTAATTTTTAATACATCTATGAATATAAATAAAATTATAACTTTTTGACACATATAAAATATATCAATTATAATATTAAATGAAAGTAGAATATAAAAAATATTAAAACTATAAAATCACATTTCTAAGTCAAATGATAAAGCATCTTTCTAAAATTAAATATAATATTTGTTTTTGATTTAAAAAAAATTATCATAAATTACAAACTTGCTATAAACAATGTGATGTTTTTATCTAATAGTGATATTTTCTTACTTCTTATCATTTTTTTAATAGCTACAAATTATTTTACTTTTAAAAGATTGAAAATCTAATATTTGGTTTTTTTTAATTTTAATTTTAACATATTCTTATATATTTTTATTATATTTATTTAGTCATTTTTATTCTTTTGATATGCTATTGTATTAATCTATATTGTTTCTTTACAAGGTATAATATTTTTTTAATGTCTTAATTGCCTATAGAAATATATTTTTATAATAATATCTAAATTTACTAATTTTTTTGGTATCTACTTAGAGTTAGTTTAGAAAAAATATTTTTTTTATTTAGAAAAATATTCTATGGCCTTAATCTATAAGTACTTATTATTAATTTGTTTATAAATGTTATCGCTTCATTTCATTTCTTCTAAGCTTATAAATATTTTTAAAAGTAATACATAATAATTTAAAGGTTTGATGATAGATGTTAAATACATAAATTATAATAAAATTTTAAAAAAGAATATATTCAAGTATTATTAAGAAGAAAGAAAATAAAAAGATAAGATATATTTATAAGATAGAAAAGAATTAAAATAACTATTAATGAATATAAAGAGACTAGAAGGTCTTGAACTAAGACTAGAAATCCAAGAAATGTATGGGTAAGACAACAAATTATCTTAGACTTATCTTTATACATACTAATTACAAATAAGGTCTTGTGGAAGCTTCTTAAAAGGTTTATGGTTTAAGCATCAACTTATAAATTTTATCTATTATGACTTGTTAAAAATATAAAACTTATAGAAGAAATTTTGATTACCATATGACATATTTATAAAATTCTAAATATCTAATTTACATCTAAGATTTTTTTTTGCAGATTCTTAAAAAAAGATATTATCTATCCAACATGTTTATATCTACTTCTATTTATTTTTATTTTTATTTATTTATTTTAAATATATATATATATATATTTTAAAATTTTTCTTTTTTTTGGATTATAAATTCTACAAGAAACAATCAAATTGCTCTATAAGTTGATAAAGTTAAAGATTTGTCAAATATTTGTAGTAACAAATTTTAATCTATGTTTTACATGAAGCTGATTAATAAATTCCTTCAATCATTGATAATATCTTGTATCACTGTAAAAAAACCACCTAGTTATTTAATCATTTTTTAGGCTTATATAACTACTTTCAAATAATATATTTTTAATTCCATAAGATGTAGTATCTACCTTTAATTATACCATTAACTCTTGGTTGTTATATATTTTAATATGATATAGTAATAATTACTTCTCTTTTAATAGATTTATTTTATTATAAGACACAATAAAAGACACATAGAATACAAAATGGTGATAGGATGAAAACAATAACTAACCAATGTAAAAATAATTTAGGTAGGTATAAAAAAATTGACAACCTTTGGAACTATTCAAGTAGAATTGCTGATTTGACATCAAAATAAAGAATAATGACTTCATAAATAAATAAATAAATAAATTAATTAAAGGCTCAAATTAAGTTTAATGTAAGAATTAGCATAATTCAAAGGACATTTAAAAAACAATACTTTAGATTTTTGAGAAGGATTGTATAAAGGACATGAATTTTGAAGAAGTAAAAGATTAAAAGACTCTTATGTCATTCAAAAAGACTAGATAATCACTCAAAGATGATATAATATTAAATTAGAATGGCTATTGTCAAAGATAAGAAGACAAGAAAGTCTTGAAATAAAACTAATGATTAGAAAGGTATTGATAAGAGTGAAAAAGGCTTCATTCTTGCCTCTATATATACTATTTATCTAGAAACTATGTTGTAATATTCTATAGGACCTCCAACACGTGTTAACTTTGCAAGACATATTTTAACTTACAAAGTAAGTTTTTAATAGGTGTGCCATATAATTAACTTGTTCGATAAGCTATTAATATGTGTGGCATGTGGTTAACTTATTGACCAAGTTTCTAACCTATCAATCAACTATAAATATGTATAAAATCAAAACCGCAACTATAAAGCTTCTAAGAAGCTTTTCTAGAAGATATTATGAAATTATTCTATTTTTACTTACTTCTATTTAATCATATACATAACTATTGGAATAAATGTATATGTCCGTGATATTATCTCTTCTTCTAGGAAATGTTTTTATGAGGTACGATCATCATCTTTTATGGATCTTGTTATTTTTTATTTTAATTTTGATGGATATCATTAATAAAAAGCTTCAACCTTCTTTTTTGCATTTATAAGATTCTTTGTTTATTCCTATGTATATTTACTAATATCATATTTATACAAATGAATAAGATATTCCAACTTATTTTAGTGCCGCCTTGAATCTAAGACTTCTTCTACTTCAAACTCTTAATTATCATCTACTTTTATAAGAGGAGGTGGCATTTGTCTACTTCTTGTGATATAAACTATCTTATATGGCTCAAAAAGAGACATATGGAATATATAATAGATCTTTAGAAACTTTATTAAATATAATCAATAAGTAATAAGATTGACTTATTCACAAATAAAAAAAGGTCTAATTTTATGATAGTCCAATTTGTTAGAAAGTCAAGTAGTTTTGATATTACGACAAAGTAATCATATGTTATTATCCATGTTGAATTGTGGTTGTTTTTTATAATAAGCATCTGCATTGATCTTTTGTTTTTCTTGAGCTTGCTTTAATTGTGCCTTTATTGTTACATGTAGCTGTAACAAATGATTTGCCAAATCTTCTACTATAGAATTATCAACTTTTAAAATTTTAAAAACAACAAATTATTGATGATAACCATAATTGACAAAAAAACGAGTTTTTTTGTATAGAAGAATGTATCATATAATCAAGAATTTGAGGTAGAAGAAATTTTAGATATAATATGGTATTGAAATAGGTTAAAATAGTTTACTTATTAATATGGATATGATATTAATGAATGCTCATGGAAATTAAATTTATTGCAATTCATCTTATAAATGCAATAAAAAAGATCAAAGCTTTTTATCAACAATATCCATCAAAAAGAAGAATCAAGTAATTTCTTGTTATGAAAGAAAAGAAGTTCAGTGAAGATTGTGTTCTATAATCTATTCTTGCTTGTGGTTTTATTTTGTATTACTAAAGAGATAGACAATTAATAGCTAATATATTTAAATTAAGAACTATGATTTGTAGAGCTGCCAAATGAGACATTACAATTGTCACAACTTTCAAGATAATATAATAGAAATGAAGACCTTTAAGAATGACATATTTTTCTTTAAATAGATGGTGAGATACAATGCATTTAGTATCACCAACTTGGAAGAGACTCCCAATGTTTGGTGATTTTATTAGAGATAGGAATAACCCTTGATGGTATAATAAATGTTTTGTTTGAAGAAATTTACAAAGGCCTCAATAATGATCAAATATTACAATGGTCTTTCCACTTTAGAATGTGTCACGGCCATAATCATGTAAGCTAATAATTACATATAGAAATAGGTAGAAGTAAGTAAAAGTAAGTAAAAGTAAGTTAATTCTATAATATTTAATATAGAAGCTTCCTAGAAATTTCCTAAACGCTGCTTTGACTTCATAGGTGTCTTTAATTGACTTTTTGGATTAGAAACATGGTCAACAAGTTGGCCATGTGCCACACATGTTGTTAGCTTGAAGATCAAGCTAACTATGTGGCCCACACGTAGA